CATCAGGTAGAGCGAGTTGAGCACTGTATTGTGTCTGATACCTTTTGTGCCTTGATGAAACCCCATCTTCGCTGCCATCATACCGACTGCAAGCGTCCCTGTACTCACAAAGTATCTCGACCTCTTAACAGATCGCTACCTTACCCCACCACTGCAGACATTCCTCCTACGAGTGACCGCGCTAATACTCCGTATGCCTCCCCCCATCACCGTCAACCAAACAAACACAAACAACAACCTCCAATCCATCGCCAGCATCGTCAGCCTCTACATGCTCCTCCTCCACCACCACACGCCTCAACCCCCATCATAGCATCCAACCCACCAGCCACCAGCTCCTTCACCGTTCCCCGCCATGGCCTCCAAGAAGTCCAAGGCCCCCGCCGCCGACGACAACCTCGACGAGCTCTTCTCGGGCATCGGCGACGACTCCAAGGCCAAACAATCCAAGCCCCCCAAGAAGCCCACCTCCGCCGCCGCAAAGGCCATTGGCAACGACGACATCCTCGCCGACCTCGAGTCCGAGCTGGCCCCCCAGCCCGCCTCGCGCCCGCACACGCCCCGCCTCAAGGAGGCCATTGCCCGCCGCTCCACGGCCACGCCGCCCATTGGCGACGACGGCAGCAAGTCTGCAGCAGCCGCCGCGGCGCGCAAGTCCACCGACAGCTCGCGGAGCCTCAAGGCCAGCTTCACCCCGAGCGCTACGAGCTCCGAGCTCCACGATGCCGAGAGGCGAGGCCCCGTCGAGCAGGCACAGCAGCCGCAGCAGCAGCAGCAGTCTGGAGGTGGCTGGTGGGGAGGCATCCTGTCGACGGCGACGGGCGTCATGAAGCAGGCCGAGGCTGCGTACAACCAGATCCAGCAGAACGAGGAAGCCCAGAAGTGGGCTGAGCAGGTCAAGGGCTTGCGAACCGGCATCGACGTCACAACACTCAAGAGCTATCGTGAGTTGCCGCAATAACCCTCTAGAAGTATCATTGGAACTAACAAGAGGTTCTCAACAAAGGCGACGAGCTTCGCAACCGCGCTTTGCCCACGCTATCCAACATCATCAACACCATTGCTCCCCCCATCGGCTCTCACGAGCGCCTCCTCATCCACATCACCCACGACCTGGTCGGCTACCCGTCCCTCGACCCCCTCATCTACGACGTCTTCTCCGACGTCATGCAGCAGGTCGAGGGCGGCGAGCTCAAGGTCGTCCAGAGGGGCCACGACAGCGGCTCCTCGCGCCCTCACGACAACACCGCCGGCTGGGACGACGGCCCCTGGTGGAGACAGGTCGACCAGCCCCGCGAGCTGGGCGTAGTCAAAGGGCTCGTCGAGGGCACCAAGCTCTGCCGCGTCAACGCCGAGTCGTACGCGACCGAGTACTTTGCCTCGCAGGGAGGCATTGACGCCGTCAAGGCCAAGGCGAGGTCAGGCGTCGTCGAGCCCGGCTCCGT